TATATATATATATCTGAGGTAGTGTAATAATTCCTCCTTGGTTTTTCTTTGTGCCGCGGTTCTTTTTCAAGGGTTTTGTTTGAACCAGGTGTAGTTAGTTTTTTCTTTTATTAGGAATAATGAAGTCTTGTGTTGCATATTAAATGGAGATGACTTTTCTTGACGTTGTTGTGCCTTGAGAGTAGTGAGTGCCTTAATTGTGACGCCTAGGCTCAGTTCTTGACTCATGGATAGGTACCTTAACTTGTTTTACTGTGACTCTGCTTAACTGCTTTGATTATAGAGTCGGGATAGATCTGGTCCTAAGTGAGTTATGTGCCAATGTGTGTGTGGGGTTTTGTGATATTCTGTGCATGTCGATTGATATCTAGAACTTGCCTCATGTGTTTGCAAAGCAAAATAGTAGTCTTGTCCAGTGTAGGAAGTGATATAGGCATTTCTTTGTTGAGCCAGATATATGATTTTACCCACTAAATTAATGTGTATCTTAGTTAGCCTCGTTGAGCCTGTAAGCCTTACCCATTTGATCGGATTCACCATCTATTTGAACCTTTTATCTCTCTTGAGCATTTGATTTTGTTATAAGCTTGTAAAATCTAAGTGAGGTATGGTCGGGTTTTTGAGTGGAGCTATAGAAAAGGAAGAAATGTGCACTATTTGAAAATTTTAAGATCCACTTGTAAGGAACTGAAAGAAAAATAGTTATGTATGTATTAGAAAAGAAAATTTTAATTCCTCGCTAGTGGTAGTTTAATTCTCATCTTGTTTATGCTTAAAGAAATTGAGATCTTGATGTTGTTATTATGAAAGTTGGGGTTGAGTTCAACATAAGTGTGACGTTTAAATTGTAAAACTGTTGTATTAAAGTACTTAGGGAGGTGTAGTCACTATTCCATATGTATCCTACCCGTCCCGCAACCTGCATTACAACCAAAATAAAGTCCTACTTGATCTTTGACTGAATTAGCTCAATTAGAAGAGTATTACACTACGGGCAAGCTTATGGTACATTCTCGGTGGCACATGAATTTTATTTCTGAGAGTGAGTTAGTTCTTTCTATCTTGAGTTCGTATTTGTTCTTGAATTTTATTGTGTGTGGAACTATTTTCTATTGTTTGTGTGAGAGAACATAATTTACGAAGGCAAGGTAAAGTCTTTGACCTCTAGGTTAGAGTAAGTGAGAAGGTTGTGAAAATTGCATGGTGCTTGTGAGTCGAGTTTTGAGACTAGGATGTCATGATATGGTGCTTAGTCTATTTTAAATATTCTTGGCATGATGCGTTATGGAAGTTGTCTGATAAGAAGGTCGTCTCTATGTGAAGTGCAGTTTGATTGCTCGAGGATGAGCAATGGTTTAAGTGTGGGGTGTTGATGGTAGGCTAGAAACTCGTGTTTTAGCCATAATATTGCACTCTAATTATTGCATTTTACGTGTGTTTGAGCTTAAACGATAGTGAATTATACTTATTATGTGTTTTATGCCTTGTAGAAAACGGTTCTGAGCTATTAAGGTAATTTGGAGCTAAATCAAACAAGTTGGAGCTTTGAAGTCTAAGTAGAAGCCCAAGCAATTAAGCCGGGATCACATTCGGGGGTCGAAGACCAAGTCTGGATGTCAAAAAATGACAAAACAAAATTACTCTGTAAAATTTGCACAGCCGCGAGGTGCGACAGTGCAAAATATGGCCAGAAAAGATTTTGCAAAACGTTCTGGAATTCTCCACAAGCGCGCTACATGCCGCGCCGCGGTAGTACAAAAATGTTAGAGTGATTTCCTATTTCGGCTAAGAAAGGTAGTTTCATCCGGATTTGTTTTAGGGAGGGCTTAAATACACCAAAATCACCATTTTACAGCACTTTTGACCTAGAGAAGATTAGAGAGCCACCCAAGGAAGAAGACTCAAGAATTCACCAAGATTTCAACCTACAATCGGTGCAATACAAGAATTTGTATCAAATCATGATAATCGATATTTTCTTTGTTCTTAAACTTAGTTGAGATATCTTACTCCATTGCTATGGAGTAATTTCTATTTTTGTGTTGATAGATATGGTGTTTCAATAACTTGATTAGGGATTCGATTCTTGATAATTATTAGAATTAATTGATGGAGCTTTGATATGTATTGTGGAGTTATTTAGTATTTTGCTTAATCGAAAGAGGAGTTTGATATTTAATTTCTTCACATCTTATACTCTAATTTAAAATCGTGATTCAAATAGGTAATCGAAAGAGCCTCTTGAATTGTTAATCGAACTAGAAAATAGGAAATATTTGTGAGAAGTTACCCTTTAGATCATAAACATCATTTTATTGTTGCAATTGTTTACTGTACTTCAATTAGATTAATTACTGAAATTAATGTTAGAGGAATATTAGCTTCAAGTGTAATCTGATTATCGGTTGAATTCGTGAGAATCAACTGTATTATAGAGTGAATTAACTCAAGAATTAGATCCTGAGTCAGTTATCGTGCACCTATCTAGTCAATTACCCTTATTTCCCTCATTGATATTTCTTTGTGCTCATCTGCGGTCTTTTGTGATTAATTGTTACTTGCTTAAATTTTAGTAGTTAATCGTAGAAATAGTCTTCAAATCAAGTGTTAATTTTTCTGGATAGTAATCAACTGGAGATTATTCGAATATTGTTTACATCCAATCCCTGTGGAGACGATAATTAATCTATACTATCTTTGGCTAGCGAGCATTCATTTTGTGTTGTGTTTTGCGCTCGTCAGCTTCTAAAATTCAAAGTTCTTATTTCTGCTCATAGTTCTTCATAAGTATGTGGCTCCGAACCGAAGGCATGCTAATTGCTAAGCTCATAATCGAGTCTAGAATCAATACTACTACTAGTTTGGCTATTTATTCTATCTTTAGTCTGCTCATCTAACGTTATTGAACACTTATATTGGATTAATCCACATATCCTTAAAACCACATATAAATTCAATTGTTATCCATTTTTAAGGGTAAACATATGTGACTTCTTATACTAATGGATGATTTTGCTTGTTGCTTAATATGCTTGTATCTGGAGAAAAGATAGCACTTTCATTGGTATTTATAAAGTTGATAGATCTATCGTGGAAGCCATTGGCCAACCTAATTCATCTAACAAAGCGTAGGAAGACTCAACATGGAATTATTAAGTATACTTATTATAACGTAAAATGTTTTTTTCAAATATTGCTGGTCAAAGAAAATCAGTAAATAACTGCACTAAAATATGCCATATATAGTAATACTAGAAGGAAAAGTTATAAAGACACTATTTGCATGTTAATTGAAGCAAGCCACATTTAAAATAAATTCAGATACTTCGAGAGGAAATTGACTTGTATTAAAAATGACACGTCATTTTCCCCATTTGAGTAAAATATTTCTCTTAAGAGGAAAAAATACAATTGTAGGAGTCAGAAACTCTTGAAGTAACTGCAACATGTTACTATATACAAGAAGCACATATAACGAAGAAAAGTTGCGATCAGAGTAAGTAATTGAAGTGCTAAATATAGAAGAGCGGCTGAAAGTTGAAACTAGAATTATGTGAAACAGGATCATGGTATAGTAAGAATGAAATCACAACTTTCAGCATCTCAATGGACAATATCAAAAGTCATATACTGATATACTAAAGTTCCAAATTAAATAAGAAATAATCGATGAACAGAAGAAACGCAATTGAAAATCAACTGAACATAGTTATCTTTTGTATTGAATATCATTAGAACTGCATTTGTCACCCATGATACCTTTCTACTATGATTTTACTTCTAATAACAAATGTATGTATCTGCAATGAATTTCCTGGAGACCATCTAATATCCTTTTTTAAGGAGAGGAATTGCATATGTGCAACCTTGCCAAGTTCCTTATGTACTGTTTTGTTGCCCGAGTCCAGCAAACCGAGTTTAATGGAGCTTGGATAGCAAGGTCTGTCAGAGTAAGTTTTATCCAGAGCTTCATTTAGTCATAATATAGCCTCTGGAAGTCCCAATTTGCTGTTACTAAGGAAGAGTTGTCGCGGAATATCACATTTGTGGAGGTTTGAGACAGTCTCAGCTTGTGTCAATGTCAAAGATCCGGTTAATGCTAGCAGTGGTTCTAACAGAAAAGCTTGACTCTCATTCTTCCTTCCATCATCTTTTCTCATTTCTTCAAGTAAAGCATTGGTAGTGTCTATACCTGCTCAAAATAGTAATGCCAAGAAAGGAAAGAAAATCATGTTTTTGTCCAATAGTTCATTGCCAAAGGAATTTTTTTGAGTTGAACTAAACCTGAAAGGTAACCTCCATGGACATAGCCACTAAATTTTTCGCTTGTGTGTTCTCCTGTGAAAAATATCCGCCCTACTGGTTCCTGACGAAAGAAAGAAAGAAAGAATGTCATAAAAGAAGTGGTGTCTCAGAACACAGTTTCTTCTCATACCTATATTTATTTAGATTGGACACTGTAAATTACTATTGCTAACTGAGAAAAGAAGATTGCTAACCTTAATATCATGGACGAGTTGATGATTTACATATATGGGATAATTACTGTAGCTGCCACGCTGAAATCGATTATTCCACCAGCGTGGGATTAATATGTCAGTGGCATCGGGAATGTCAGGCCCAAACATGTTTCTTAACACTTCCATTGCTTCTCGTAATGTTTCTTGATCAGATTGAGCTTCCACACGTTTCGACTCACCATTTGTCAAGGTTACCACCAGGATATTGGAGCCTGGGTAAGCATTCTCCATGTGCTGATGACATCAAAACAGATCAACACCCAGCTGGGATCAGTTTCTCAGCCCATACGAATGACTATATGATGCATTCAGCAGCAATACTAAATTAAAGTGAATAAGTCCTCCATATAATAAAGCTAGTTGAGAAATGCACAATTGGAAAAAATATAAGCCTGAAGTTGATTCAAGCGTACTTCTGTATTCTCTCAATGCGATGTCATAAGATTCATAATTTGTTGGTCAAGTTATATTGGCATCTCCAAGAGGAGGGTTGTAGCATGAGACACATAAAAAGGGACCAATTTTATGTTGTGTGTATGTGTGCAGAAACCAAAATTCTGCTCAGATGACTGTACAATTGTATAACCAAGAAAAATCCTTAAGGTGCAAAATCAATAGATGGACACGGATCGAGCACTACACTAATGTTCACATATAGTGCAAGAGAAGGAAGGACTTCATTTTTAAACTCATCAAGAACCTATAAGATTAGTAACTGGAATATATATAACTCCAGGATATGAAGAACATAGTCTATCCTACTCTGCTAACCGGAAAAAAAAAGGTAACTGACTCTAATCCTACAGATAGACACATTTAGATAATTTGAGCTACCCCATAAACAGCTGACTTATGCCCGAGAATAGCAATTGTAGAACTGCAAAGCTAATGCAAACACACTGCATATCTAGAAATGCCGAAGATGATGTACTTCTGATGACCATGACAAAATTGAATATTGCGATAGCCAAGTCAATTGCCAAGTAGTAGCACAACCCAAATAGGGAAAAGGAGAATGGATTAAAAAAAGAGTCCGCAAATTTCTCCAGATTCATTAAGATGCAGTGACCCACGCGTATGGAGGCCCGGGATTATTTGATGCTAATAAACTGTTAAGAGTACCTAACGTGCGCCACATCATCACAAGTAGCGACAAAATTATATATTATCTTAGTTAAAGCACAGTTCTGATCTGAACATCAGTTTCCTGCGTTAATCCACTCATTAGACAGACAAATTACGGCTGTCACACATGGTTTTGTTTAATTAGGAAATACACATAGAATGAGCTTGACTTCCAGTTGCAGATTCCTAATGGAGATTAAATATATGGAAATAATATATTAAACTTGGAGCAAAGTCAATGTACTATTGAGCCCCTAATGATACTATTTAAGGCAGTCATTTTGTAGCAAAGGAACAGTCAGTATCTCTTTGAATAGAGAAGAGAACATGAAAAAGAAATCCTCTTATCCCTGAATGTGACAGGACTTGCAGAAAAAACAAGATGAGGAAATAGTCCAGATGCAAGTAATGAACCAAAGAATGCAGTAATGTGTACTAGAGTTAGAGATATGGCAATATGTATTATAAAGACATAACATTTGACAATAAATTTTGCAGACCTGCCAGAAAGTATAGTAGCCTCTTCGCTCGTGGGCGTAGATGAAGAACTCCTTCTCAGGTTCACAAGGCCAAAACTTATAAGGGAATTTGAGAAAGATCTTTGTATAAACCATCACATCCAAGTTTCGGATGGCTTCCATCTTCCATCTCTGTTTCAATTAATACAGATAAGAGCTTAATTTTTTGAAAAAACAGAAGAAAAGTATGGTACTAAAGATGAAGCTGATATCAGGTGTATGCGAAACGGCCGTAAAAGAAGATACTAATTAACCTTTTACACTAATAATTTGAGCACAAAAGAATAAGTAGTTTAGCTAGCACAAGAGAGATTCTATTCAATAGACAGATAAAGTTAGTCCAAGTATAGCTAACCAACCTGTTCTTTTCACTATCAATTAAATATATCCTTGATTTAGACACTGACAGCTAATTTTAAAATTTCGCTACACTTTGCTTGTACAGAGTATCAATTAACCTTATTAAATCAATCAAAATAAAAGGTACAGCAGCCAATCATCTCAAAAGCTACAGCTTATTTATTTTTATTAGCTACAAAATTATGCTAATAGCTATTTCTAATAACTGATGATAAGCAACTTCACTATCTGGAATTCTTTAATATATTGGTAGGTTTACACCAACAAATAAAAATTAAGTAGCCGAGTGTTAATAATAGTTTAGGAGATGAATACTCCTTCATAAGACAGCTCTTGTTTATCAAATTAAAAGAAATTTGGACAGCACACAAGTCACTAATCCTATTGTAGTAAATCAAGTATTCAAAATAACTCCTAATTAAATCACTATGCGTTTCAGATGCTCACTTGCAAATTAATTTAAGCTCTCCTTTCTTAGATGCTAATTTGCAGATCCATTGAAGATGTTCTTAAATCAATATAACATTCATATGCAGAAGATAAGGTTGTACAGTCTGCGTCAAAGACATAAACTACCCAATGTAGAAAACTGTTCAATTTAACTTTTTAGCATTGAAACCACATCAAGGCCAACAAGAAAACAAGCTGTATATCAACTGCACATTCCAGTCCAGTAGACCATACTTGGCATATAACCACTTAAATCATGAATCTGAAAGATATGTATGAGTGGAGGCCATTTCAATAACCAAGTCCAGAAATTAATGTTGGGTAGCTCAATGTCTACAAATGCTGACCTCTTCAACATTGTTGGTATTTAATATACCATAGGGTCAGAATTTGCAGGTCACCAACTTTAGGTAGTCTAACCGGGAACAGGGGACCCATATTATATCCTAGCCATAGCCTCAAGCTATCACATATTATTGGACTGTAATAAGTGCCATGCACTTTTTGTGAACATCAAAAGCTCAAGATCTCAACAATCCATCCATGTGCACGTGATGCAAATATCTATCATTTCTTACATGTTGTAATCTTAGGCATTAAATTATAGGGGGTGGACATAGAGGTAGATCTAAGATACAAATTTGACGAGTTCAATCTTTAAGGTTCTTACATTATACCGCCATACTTTTCATTTTAGTGATTTTTTTTACACATGGTATATATACACTTATGTACAAAAGTACTGGATTCAGTTGAAAAAACTGCATCCACCTTGGAGTGGAGAGGGAGGGGGGGGAGAGTCAATAGAGTGAAAGAGGAGACGTACAGGTAAGGGGGGCGTGAAGGAAATGAGGTTGCTTTGGAGAACACCAATGCTAACAGACAAAATCACGTAATTGGCTTCGTAAAGGGAACCATCTTCTGTTGACACCAAGACGCCGTTTCTCGAGTGCTGCACTTCCCGAACAACCTGCCCCATTTCCGTAAATTGTGAATTCTAAATTACTACTCCAAATATGTCATAAATGTAGCAGCATTTATTCAGATGTACGTATTTCAAAATCAACACAAACAACACAGTGGCCTAGGCACCCCTATAAAAGAGACAAAAAACCAATCCCCTTCATAAGAATCTGTACAAAGTCAAACTACACTGTAACGCTGATTATTTTGAATCAAGTTAGCCCTCTGTTTACGAGTTCGGGCGAACCCATTAGTTTTTGTGCAGTCTCTATAAAAGAATTAGAATTTTGAATTCATAAACTTTAAATCCTAATTCCTCTTCTAACGGCAAGTGTAGGGATAGAGGGGAACTGGTGAAGGATCGTAGCCTGTATTTAGTGGATCTTTGGACCCGCATTTGATTGCATTATATAAAAGTGGCTTTAGCCTCTAAATTTTGTTCATTTCAAGAAAAATTAACATGGTAAGTAATGTGTTGAATGCGAAAGTTCTCTCTTTTATGGTACCCATTATAATGATTAGGAAAGGTCTTTATGATTTTAGCTCTATCATCATGTCAAATCAATCCACACAAAAGAGAAAACTTCAATTTGTATAAATCGAAAATTACTTTCTTTTACTTGGCTTTTCCCTACTTTTTAGTTTCCTTTTTCATTTTCTGTTTTATAGCTAGTCAAGGAAAAACTTCCAATACCAAACTGCCTCGAGTTACTTTTAAGATGTGATGAATCTTTAAATTATTACTACTTTCTTTTACTTTAAATAGGAGGTAAAGCACATTTTAGGAAGATTTTTCAATTAAAAAGATAATAGTAGTATAAATAGTCCTTGGAATTGGAAAACGTCCTTTTCTGCAGACTCTTGGTGGGTGAATCAATCCTAACAGAACAAAAATAAAGAAAGATAAATTATTCCATGCATAAAAAACAAATCTTTAAAACCTTATCAGTTTATCACCTTCTGTTCATCAACTTTGCCTACTATTTCTACAGTAGTTGTCATAATTTGGCCCATCACAAAACAAAAAACACAGAGTAGTAAATAATTATATATCCTCTAACCAAAAACAGAGAAATATAAATTTTACCGTGTTGAGCTTGAGACGGCTGTCCATAATTTTACCCTCAGAGGTAAAAAGAAAGTTTTCTGCCATTTTATAAAGCAAATGCTCATACCCTCTTTCATCAGCAACTAGAAATTCTCTTTCTCCAAAATCCACATATGTTGATATTGGCTCAACCTCTGTAAAAATTCAGAACAATAATTTCACATTTTTCAATCCTAGAATTCTTGAAAAGGAAAAAAAAATCACTTTACTGTTCAAATACATTAAGGAAAAACAGGATAAAAATGATATAATGAAAAATTGAAAAATTGACCTGCCATTTCAAAATCATGGAGAATGAAGTCAATCGCCAGCTCTATTGGTGTTTTTGGAGTACTGTAACAAAATCCAGAAAGACAATAAAATATTATTGCGAAAATTGTTTAAAAAAAAAAAAAAAAAGAACCGAAAACAGAGTGTTATGTAAGTGGTAAATCATACGACGGCGTCTCAGCAGAGGATTCAAGGTTGTTGTTTCCTTCTTGGCTTCTGAGTTTCTGAATTGCCGAGTCCACCGCTTTCTTGTACGAGTCCGCCGCTATTCCACTAGGAAAAATCTTACCACTGTAATTTGTAATGCAACAAAAACAAAAACTAAACAAAATCAATAAAAAAAAACACAAAACCATCACTATCACCCCAAGACATCATCATTAACTACACCACTACAAACATAATATAAACTTATACTTTAAAAAGTTCAATTTAAACATTATACAGTTCAAATAATAACATTACGAACCTGTGATCATAGATATTGTAACGGGCATTACTGTAATCAGAGAAGCAAGTACGGAGATTAGACTGAAGGGCAAGTTCCCAGACAGGATTAGACTGTTCACCACCGACGCCGGCGATCCAACCGGCGCCGAGTTCCACCGTTACTCCGCCGAATTCCTCCTTCCTTATCCTGCCACCTATCTTATCAGACGCTTCCAATATCATCACATCATCCACTCCATTCTCCGACAATACCTTCGCCGCCGTTAAACCTACAGAAATCCACACATATAATTATTCACATCGCACTTTGTATTTCTCCCCGTGAATGCAGAAACATGGTTATAAATTTGAAGAAACAGATCCAGAATTTGAATTACCTGAGATGCCGGCTCCGACTATGATGACAGAGCAGCGATGGGGAGTTTCCATGAAAGAGGGGATGTGGGGATGGGGTGGGGTTTGGGGTGTGGGGGAGAAGCAGAGAGTTAAAGGAGTCTTGAATGAGTATACAAGAGAGTCTGCAATAGGAGAAGAAATAGCGGGAGTCGGTTTTTATAGTTGGTTTTAACCGCATATTGGGGAAACACCACTCTCTCCTTCCTTTATTTACTGTTATTATTATTATTATTATTGTGACTAACAGCTTGGATGGTCGTCACCTGTTTTATTGTATGGTAAATACCATATTTGTTTTGATTGTTACTTAAATTTTATTGTATCGTATCGTTAAATCTGTCGTTACGTAACGATGAAATGTGCCACTTTACGTAACGACCAATTTGGTATGGTCGCGTCGTTACCATGTCTTTTTCTCTCAATCTCACCCTTCATTATTATTAAATACTTTTATTTCATCATTTACCCTACCATTTTGTATAGTAATTTTACCTCGTATCATAAGTTTTTTATAATATTGCAAGTTTATTTTTCATGTTGCTAGTGCGTGATATCATGAAACGATGGCAAACGATACAATCTATCCAAATATTGTATTCATCAAACGATACAGTACGATACGATACATTATGAAATAATATGTAACAATACAAACAAGTTGTAAGGATTAATGTAAGTGTATATAATTATCTAGTAGGGAATGAAAGTTTTTCTTTTCTTTTTACTTTCTTCTTTCTTTTTGGTGCTCGGGTGATCTTACTTAAACTAATTCTATATGTATGTGTTATTTCTCGTGAGCACAAATATTCATTTAGGGTTGGACATATAGAAAAAATTATTTAGTTTTTTTTTTTTATCTTCTCTAAAATTTAATTTCTATTTACTTTATTAACCACTAGGCTATAATGCTAATAAAATTTTATCTCACGTCATCGGATCAGTTTATACATACTATTTTCCATTAGAACATGTACTTTGGTTGATACATACTATTTTCCATTAGAACATGTACTTTGATTGCTTAACTTTGTTTATCAAGACGTAAACATATAAGAAGAAATTATTTTATATTTTTGTCGCCTCTATAATTTAATTCTGAAACTTTATTGTTCTTAATTTACTTTGTTGACAACTAATTATACCCTTGTTACTTTAATGATTATTTTGTTAAGGTGACGTTCTGTCGTGAATTGAGTCCCATATATGTGTAGGGTTTTTCAAGCTTATTTTAGCTTAAAAGAGGGTGAATGGGAAATGGATGAAAAATAAAATATTTGAGTTTCCCTCCTTGACAAAGGGACATTGTCCCATATTGGATGAGGAAAAGACTTTTGATGGGTATATGAGCCCGTTTGGATTAGCTGATTTACAGTAGCTGATAAGCATTAAGTGCTGAAAATTACTTTTAAGTGCTGAAACTGATTTAATAAATAAGCTCTTTTTCTGTTAAAATAACTTAAAAAACCTTAGAACTGTTTACCTTTATAAGGGCATAATTTCTTTAAAATTTTAGATTCAAGATCGATTCAAATGCAAAATATTCTATTTGTTATTTTATTTTAAATACAACTGTGCTTAGATAAGATAATTTTTATGATAAATATAATTTATTTTATGATACACATATAATCATAAGTTATAATAATTAATAGATTGACAAAAGTTTTTCAACAAAAAATAAATATAGGACAAAATATTTGAAGAGAAACAAACACTGCCTTCATCACCACAACACTAAGAAACGAATACACCAAAAATTTGATATGTCCTCATTTGTTACATACAGTTCAAAGATTAATACACAATCAAATCACATAGATATAAATATGCAAAGAAATAGAGAATTTGCNGGGGGGGGGGGGGGGGGTTTAGGTTGAAAGAAATACTTGGGACTGTGAGTATCGATGTAGGAATTTTATTTTAAAAAAGAATATTTTAAGGATAAAATAGTAAAAATCTTGGTCAAACTTAAAGTGCTTATAAGCTAAAAATTCATAAGCTGGGGGTGACCAGCTTATGGCTTTGGCTTATTTTTGACTTATAAGCACTTGGCTTATAAGCACTTTTAACTTTAACAAACGCGTAGATAAGCCGAAAAGTGCTTATAAGCTAGTTTGACCAGCTTATAAGCTTAGCCAAACACCCTCTACATACAATTACTCTTCTTTTAGCTCTTAAAGAGTTAAGAAGGCAAGCCTCGCGCTGTCGTCGTCGCTCAGCTTCGGCTTCGGTCAAATGATTGATTGATTAAATTTTAGGACCAAATTTATTTGTTAAATATAAATATTAACGTAATGTTATTAAATATTCTATTTTTGAAACGAAAAATTAATTTTAAATCCAAGTTATCCGTTTTTTGTAACGAAAAATAAAGTTTCCTCTGCCTGTCCGATTTTTGTTACGGAAAATGAAGTCTCATCTGCCCGTTTTAATTTGCGTAAATGGCCATTTACGTTATGGCCGCTTTACGTGAACAATCATAACTGACATCTGAAGAGTTGCACCTCTTCGTTTTTAAACTCAACATGTTGGCTATAAATAGCAGTCCATTCTCTCATTTTTTCCATACGAAATTCTGAATTCTCCTCCTTTCTTCTGCATTGTTTTAATTACAAAGAAAGCAACAGTAAGTGTGATTTGCTAACGATTATTGAATTCGTTGAAACACTGGGGTTTGAAGTACCGCTACATCAGTGTGTAATTTGTTCTATCCTGGGAGGAAATAATCTACAACGTAGGGTACTAGGAGGAGATTAAGTTCCTTAAGGAAACACTGTGAATTCAGTGAATTCGGATTAAATTCTATTTTTTCTATATTTCTATTTATATATTATTTTATCTTCTCCAGAATTATTTTACAAATAAAGTTTACTAACAATATGTCTTTCACTCGTTGTCGTTTAAATCAGGAATCTTACTTTAACTTGGGGAGTATTAAGATAAGAATTTGTCGTGGACTGAGTTTCAAATTTTTGCTATCATCACTTGAAATCAAGAATTTTCTTTTAACTTGATTAATTAGTATAAAAGGTGAGAGTTTTTGCGAATTGTCTATTATCATCGTCATCCGTAATAAAAAAGATACAACGTTTTAAAAAAAATATTTAAATGTTTAAATTATAGACAAAAAAATAAACAAGGCACAATTTTCGCATCTTAAAATCGTTATGATACAATTGAAAAGTCTTAGGTAATCATCTAGCTCGAGCACTTTTGCCCTTTAGATTACCATTCCCTTCTTTGTGTGACAAATAAGCTAATACTCTATTTCCTTTTCTCAACTTAAATGCTTTACCTGTATTTAAATAAAGATATCGATCTCTTATTACAAATTATGGATATACAGGACAATTCATCGGTGATTTTAAGTATATTTTGCTACCTATGTATTTATCTGTATTTTCTTATTGTGATATTTTCCCATTTTAATCTGTTCATTGGATCCACCTATATACTATTGTAGACAATAAATTGATGACGAGAAAATAAAATCAAGACCGAAAATATCGCAACAATCGTAGTATTTGATTTCGAATATTTGAGTGTACAATCTCTATGATTCCTCTGATTCTACTTTTCTAGTATAAATTCAAGGGCCTTTGAGCTTGATCTTGAATATGTATTTATTTCCACGAAAGATGATCTTGTTCTTGAGCTTGAGCTTGAGCTTGATTGCTTGAACTTGATCTTTATTTGTTCTTCGTCCTTGAGCTTGAACTTTATTTCTTGAACTTGAACTTGATTGCTTGAAGCTTGAAACTTGTGGAGGAATTTGCGGTGTTTGATCCACGAGCTCTCTCTTGCTTCTTGTTATAACTTCTGGTGTCTTTTCTGAGTTGTGAAGACCCCTATTTATAGTTGTGGAAGGGAAGAGTCATGATAAGAACAAACTCTTTCCGACCAATCAAATTGAAGTGTGACATGGCCGCATTTGATTGGCCAGAACATGTCACTTGCACACGTGGCGCGATTTCCTTGGCCTTTTAGTGTGACTGGGCATGCCTTGTCATTTTGACATGTGGCATGATCCTATTGGCTCTTCCGTTTGACTTGGCATGCCACGTCATTTGACACGTGACACCAAACTGGGCCTCTAAGAAGATGGCATCTTGGGCTTAATGAAGCGGACTCATCACTTTTAGCCCAATTAAATGGGCTAGCCCAATGGATTAAGACTTATTTATTTAATCCATATATTGGACTTATATCATTAATTTAATTATATTAGCCCATAATATTTATTTGGGCTAGTATATTTAAAATATAGTCCAAATTATTTAATGAATATAAATTCAATAAATTTTATATTCCTACAAATGCCCCCTACTTTAAGACTTGTCAAGTTGTAGACCTTAAAGACTAGACTTGAAGTATTTAACGAAGGCAACATATCTTTACCGTTCTTTCACGTAACTTCTTTCATTAAGTTCACATGATCATTCTTGAGCACATGGATCAGTTGTAAAGCTCAAAGGCTTTATTTGACTTAGAATCTTACGTGCCTCACATTAGAAAATTTAAAACAACATTATTATAACATTGAGCATTGGATAGAAGTCTGGTTCACGTTAGGATTCTTATCCTATTCATCATAGAACTCTTTAATTTAATCACCTGCACATCAACTTGAATTAAGGTCGGCATTCCTATGCGCCAACATCACTGCATGTAGTTTTCTTTTTCAATTAGGTTAGGATGACCCAATTCCTTTTGGATTATAATATTCACTGCTCCCACATCGGAATAAGTTCCCTTACAACTGCCGTTCACTCCCTAAATAAACACATGCGCACATCTTTGTTCAGTATCAATTCGCATGTTTGCAAGCTATTTGAGTCTAGTTTCGTGGACTCGGAAGCATTGACGCGAAGGTAATTTCTTCTTCTTTTCTTGTGCTTTTCTTCTTTGTTGTCCTTTTTTCTTTTTTTGTAGGTCAAGCGAGAAAGATATGTTCTTGCTCAACAAGGTGATCCATGCATGAAGAAGATGTTCTTGGGGTGTGAGGGGATGAGTACTTATCCCTGCCCAAATATTGGGGGGATTACTTTCATGGCCCGATTCTTGGAGAGATTACTCTCAAAATGGCCCGATTCTTAGAGAGATTACTCTCAAAATGGCTCGATTCTTGGAGAGATTA